CGGCTTTCACAAGCGGCGTGAGCTCCAGCGAAATGACAGCCGGCTCAGCCAGGGTTCATGGGCGTGGGGACACGGCATCGGGGCTGGGATAGAGCGATTTTCGCTTTCGCTACTCGCCCTGTTCCTTTAAATAATAAGGAAATGCCACAGGCTTCTTGTAAAGGCGAAGCCGGACAAGGACCGCTGAAAATACAGTTGCTGCAGGCAAAAATCCCTCTGTTCGACTATTCCGTCGAGAGTATTTTCACAGACTGAACAATGTTTCTTTTACCCCTCCAAACACTTTCTTTACATTTTAATGGAACCGTTATCTTGGCCCCCCGCTCTGAAGGAAGGGAAGGTGTTTGCACCGACAGGTACCTCAACAACATCCTTGCTCTACCATAGATGTATTTGTATATGGCGAGTAACGTGCACTTCTGGCCGTGCTCAACTCACAGGGGCAAACGCGTGGCCATGCGAGGAGGGTTAAGTGCCCCCAAACTGCAGGGCAGTCAGTCATAAAGCCCCAGGTACCTTAATAAATCAGATACTTCCTTATTTTTCTGGTTTCCCCCCAGAAGTTTGAGTCATCCAGCTTAGACGAAGATGAGGTTACAAAGTTTGCAAACTGAGTAAATACAGACTATCCTTTCAGGAAGATCTGGCTAACAGTTTGTGCTGAAGGTGAGAGAACTGCGCTGCCCGGGAGTCCAAAAGTCAAACAGAAGTCTGCACTCTGCCACGGGTTTCCTGGCAGGCTCCGGGACCATCAGCATTACTGAAAAACCTGAGCAGGACTTCCCCGGTGGGAAGCGCTTCTCCCCAGCTGACCTCAAAGCAGCTTGTGTCTCCATCTTCCAAGCTACCCACCACCTTTGCTTTTGCACTTTCTCAGAGCTCCTCCGACCCCGGAGGACTGAGTACCTGTGAGCCTTCCCCACCGAAACGGCCACGGGGACCCACAACTCGGATGGGCACCCTCGCCAAAGTGCCCTGACCTCACCTGCATCCCCAGACTGTGCTGGGTCTCCCAAGCATCTTACAGGATGTTCTCAGCCCCCTGGTTTCTTTAAAAGCAGTCTTGCTTCTCCCTTCCTCTGTCATCCAACATGCCGACACCAGGGTGCTCACCAAGGGGGTGCTCATGGAGGCGGCAGAAGGTGTGGGTTCAGCGCCGTTCTCCAGCTGAGGGGATCCAAACCAACGTCTCTTGGAGGCAGCCCTAGCCGCCAGGCGGTGAGCAATCAGAGGGTGAATTGCTCTCAACCGTTCCTTTGAAACAGTCCAATCTTGCATTAACTATACACCGTGCAGTTAAAGAAAAGGAGTAGAAGTATGGGCACAAGCAGAGACTTAGTTGGGACAGCTGCTTAAAAAGAGAGCGCTGGGCTCCTTGCTGCCTTTGTAGCTTAAGCACAGTTGAAATAAACAGGACTAGAGGCCTGTATTTTCATAAGCTCGGGGAACAGGTATATTCTCTTGCAATAAAACCTATGAACCATGCAGAAAAAATACCTGAACAGCCCTTCAGAGTGATCTGCGGGGAAAAAAGCCCCCTTCCACAGAAGGACTTTGGACTGACCCCACATGAAGCTCTTGTGCTGTTCCAGGAGCCACGCTGCCGTTAATGGCAACTGCACAAGCAGGCTATCTAACAGCATCAAGTCCTGAGCAGCTTACCAAGAATTTATTAGTGCTGAATAAATATCTGCTTCATTGAATAACTCCCAGCAGCTGTAGAGTAAGGTTTCCAGGATCCCACAAGTATGGGACAAGTCACGGGACGGTCGCCTCGAGCCTGAACACAGTCTGTTCTTGATCAAAGTGGCAAAGGAAATGAAAAGTCAAAATTTGCTTGTGGGAACAAGTTTCTGCTTAGTATTAAAGCTATCTCTGGTACATCTATAGAAATGCCTACACAATAATTCCAGGTAACGCAGCAGTAAAGGCACAGCGTTTCTATGCAGGAGAGAAAACAAGCCCTTCTGGGGCAGTCTAAGTCAGCTGAGTTTACATTTTATAATGGCAGTTTATCAGTTATTTTTGTCTGCGCTGAAGCAGCCTACACACATGCAGACTAGAGTCGCTGAACGCAGCTTGGCGCAGCGCGGCTCTTCTGAAGAACGGCACGTATCAGAACTGTGTTTCAGAGCACCAGCGCGCCCAAGCTTCCAAACAGACGTCGGTGTCCACGTGAAGATTTCTGGAGGAGGAGCTTCCCTGCATGCTATTTGTAATCCCCTTTGTTCAGAAACCACACACAGCAAAAGTGTGTGTGGATACTGCTCCAATTTGCAAGTTTTTCTTGGGTAGGGATGGCTCACCCTGACGAGCGATAAGCACACTGCTGACACTACACGCTAACAGACAGCGAGATGTTCCATCTCACCCCAAAAAGCCATGAAATTCAAACTCGGTTTGCCAACGTCCCCGAGCATCCATCGCCATTGAGCTGTCTTACAAAAGTCAAAGGCTATATAAAGAAAAACTACCAGACATTTCTTGATGCAATACCAATTCGCCCCAAGTTAAAAATAAGAAGTTTGGACGTTGTGACACTTCAGTAGAAGCCTGATTAGACGCCTGTCTTGCACAACACTGCTGATTTCTATGAAAAGTTAACTGAAGGACAAAAGGCTACTGGAATGGGAAAAAAAAGAAGTATTTTATATATTTCTGCCAGTGGGAAGAACGGATGCCAGGCACGGCTAGTTGCAGATATCGCTTGCTGCAGAAATTTTTAATAATAATTTGAAAAACAGCTGAACATGCAAGTGTCGAGTTTAGCTCATCACAGAACTTGCATTTAAAGGGAGGTCCTCTGACACCTTCCATTGCTGCTTGGCCAAAAGTAGCCACCAGAGATTTGTAAATTCATAGTTTATATGCTGCACTTGGAATCTTGATTGTTTTCTTTATCCTTCTTTACACCATTTATTTGGCCAGTGTTTCCAGATGCATTTGTTTTCTTTTTCCACCCAGCTGCGGTTGAAACAAGGGCTATGGAACAAGGCCCGACGGCCCCCGTTCCCACTTCCTTCAAATCCTGGGCAGACCAACTATCCTGCAATCTCTTAACTCTAACACGCACTGTAGGGTGAATTCATTAATTGGCTTATTAAATCTTAAATTATTAAATCTTAAATCTTATTAAATCCACCGTGCTCTCCCTCCTGATTTCTTAAGGCATCTGTCCTACCTTGGCCACTTTTGATGAGACCTCTTCAAAGAGACCTGTCTATTCCTAGCTATTTTCTGTACTTGCCTTGTCATTATTTGCAGGGAATAGCGGGGAATCTTCCTATTAACATAGAAAACGTTCAAATACTGTAAGGGTAGCCATGCAAAATCTTGCAGGGCTCACCTTAGTCTAGGAACGCTCAGGCTAAAGAGTATCTGTGGATCTTGGTGAAGAGAGCCATGGTGGGGATTTTCAACGCAGCACGGAGCACGTGTACTCAAAAGCAGCTAGAATAGCAAGTCGCTGTGTGAAAAACCGTCCGTCACACGTTCCACAGCTTCGCAGCTCCAGTCCCTCTTACATCCTGTCCTCTCCTACATTAGACGCTTTGTAGCCCTGAGATTAATAACAGTTGTGAGTTCAAAGGCGGTAAATGGAACTACTTCAGTTACTCAAGCCAAAATTTAACACAGATGTCTTCTGAAGTACACTTACTGTTCCGTCACCATCTATTCCAGGATTAGAACTAACAACATTATCTGAAACTTTGATCTTCCTTAATCGATTTAATTTACTTTGTATAAAAACACGTTTCTATATACAAGAGCGACGGGAAACAAATATTTACATATGATTAAATATACAAAGTCTCAGTACAGATGTTCATCTTTACAAAATAAATGATGCTAAAATCTGTCACACGTTTTCTTGAAAATTTTCAGTCTCTTGGACATTAAGTTGGACCTATCATCTTACCACAGTACATTTTATTAATACTGCTTCTACACCCCCCCCCCCATTTACTGTGTGACAAATACGTTACATATTAGACATGAGTACTTACTGCAAGCACATGCAATCATAAATCAGAAAGAGTTATGAATGGTTAAGGCACAATGCTCAACTTAGTACTACTGTGCAATCGTCTAGCTACTAATGTGTAAAGAAAAAAAAAAAGTAAGCCAGCTCAACTTAATACCATTTACTGGTAGCCTATACCGATCTTTAAAGTTTAGTCAAACATCACGAATGCACACATGACCCAAGTCAAGATCCTGTAATGTACAGAAATATTGTCCAGGAAACCCCCAGACTGCATAATTGGATTACATGAAACGAAATATCAGATGGCAAGATGTGGATGGTCGAATCTTTGTTCAGAAGAGCACGCTGCAAGTAAATACATACAATTACTAAAAATCCAAGTTTAAACAAACATGACTATAAATATGCCCCGCTGACCTAAATTCAGGAAAGGTGGAATAGCATGGACCAATGTCACATCTGTGTGTGGATCTTCTAAAAACTGTAACAACATATCAAATCTGGTGTTTTCAATATGCTCCAGTGTGAATTTCTTTTTAATTTATTTATTAAAAAAATAGCCACCTGACTCAGTAATAAATGAAAGTGCATTAGGAAAGCTAGACACCCTCCAACCTCTCCAGAGACATGCTTCGTGTAAATGAGCACTTAGTGGTTTACTAAAAGACTGCCCACATACGTAAAGCATGTGCACAAACGCTGAGAAGCACGAGGACTCAAGCTAAATGCTGTAATAAAAGAGCAAAAAATGAGAGTTAATCAGCAAATATACTTGCTGGATATTGGATGCTACTGGTATGTGTAGGCTTTCATATACCATCAGCGTGACAGTAAAAATAGAAATATTTAAAAGGATCAAAGACTAAATAATTAAGGAAGCTCCCATGTATAGCACTGAACTAGAGGGGAGACGAAGTTTTAAGAAAAAAGACTGAGCACACTGAACAAGAGTACAACTGAGATTCCAATCTGAAAACACTAAATGAGAAATTCATGCGCTGAGAGTAATCTTCCTCCGCCGAAGTGGGTAGCGTCTTCTTTCTGGTGAATCTGCAGCTTTTTTTCTTTTTAGCAAAACATAAGGATTTTTACTGGTATCAGCGTCTGTTGGTGTGACTTCTCCTGGTGATACGAAATTTTGGACATTATTTTCCTCCTTTGCCTTGCAACCAGCAAAGACTTCTTGCCGCAGCTTGCAGAGTTCCAAGGTTGGTTGCCAAGTTAACGCTTGGGAAAAACCTTCTGCTCTTTCTATTAGCGCTGGGAGAGACTGCAAAAACAAACCCGCGTATCTCAAGTTACGTGGGAAAAGTAATGGTTACAATGAATGAAATACGTTAATTAGATCCTGACAGGCACAAAAGCTTCAGTGTCTGCAGAGATGATCCTTAGGATGGCAGGTGAAGGTTGGGAACTCAGAGCTACCAGCCTAACAGTGACAAGGGTCTGCACTCAGAAGCCATGCAAAGAATATGCCAAGTTTAAATGTTCCTTCATTACATCTCTACGCTCAGTAAGTACCACAGGAACACCACAATTCATGTCTAAGCTGGTACTGAACTAATAGGTGTCACGTGCTATAGGAAGTTGTACGGGTCTTCAAAAGATGTTTTATTTTTCAGATGCTGCAGTTCTAAAATCTCTGTAAAAATATTTCCTATAGCCACAGGGTAGTCTTCCTTACTACCACGTGAGGGGGAATGCTTTACAGATACAACTTCAGCAGCCCAAACCTAGAGGTACCTGCCTCAAAAGTACACGCAGGCTTTTGTGTACAAAACTATAACCAAGATGAGTTAGTACTCCTGTTTTGTGACGTATTATCAGATCAAGAAAATAAAAAAATATCCTCTTGGAGCACACAGAGATCTCACCTTCATTGCTCCACTGATCTGTTCGGATGCCATTTCTGTCACCTGCTTCAGATCTGCGATGTAAGCATCTACAGAAAAACATAAAGCCCAAATAAACTTCTGAAACGCAGCTCCCTCCCCCCAGTACTTGCTGCTGACTTCTTAGAAATCGGACAGAAAAGTGGTAGAGACCCTGTACAAAACTTAAACCTACAACACATCCCTTTCATTATAGCACTGAGGATGACAGCTTGTATGTTTTATCTTACTATTATTACTCTTTATCACTCAAAATGTAGTAGTGTCTAGCAGTCTCAGCTATAGCAAGCCACAAAGCTCTTCACTAGAAAACCTACAGCTTATACAAAACATGAGACACAAAGACAGTATTTGACATAAAGAGAACAGTTATAAAGGGGAAAAAAAAAAAAAATCTGTATTCAAACCTTTCAAGCTCATATTACATTTGATAAAAATGCATGAAAGAAGGAGAATAAACACAACCGTGGAGAAAATGAGATGAAGGAAACCCATTTTAAGGAGGGCAAAAAAATAATCTTACAGCTCCAACGAGTCAGCTTTTACGATAAAGGCTACATTTTTCTCCTGGCTTAACTTACCAAGCATTAACACTAAGAATAAAAAAACCCCCAAGTGTAAACATCATGAACTGCATTAATTCTGCTGGGTTAATAAAAAAAGAAAGAAAAAGCAGCTTTCAGGAACACTGAAGCAGGCAGCAGGTGCAGAATACTGGGGGAAAATGGCATACATTTGATTGCAGTAGCAATATGGTAAGATCATCAACACAACATATGTTTTCGATGACTGATTTACAAGCAATAGTAATTCTTTACTCAAGAGTTAAACTTATAGAACTGTTTTGCACGTTCCCCCCCATTATTCCATCTGCAATGCTATGCCATCAACAAAAACTTAAAATCAGCAGATAAGCAAGCGTGCTCCCAGGAACTAAGCAGCCTCACCTCCACTACTACTATTTTTCTGTAGGGTTTCACCAGTGCCTGCAGTAGGATACAACGTTAGACGGTGCGCACACCCCTAAACCCTTTCAGGGTTAAACACAGCATTCTGCTTTGAAGTCAATCTCATTAGTGCTACTGAAGATAATTTAAGTCAATCACTGTATTCTAGCTCAGGGTGACAGTGATCCCCTGCTGAAATGTAGTAAGCTGCAAGAGACAGCGTTATGTTAAATTGTCTGTCCGCATGCCCAATGTGCTGATCAGACATGGTTTAGGAATACATAATCCATGTATGAACATGGATGCTAAAATGAGCGTCATTCAGAGTCTGGAAGGAAAAACGGTCCAACAGCAGCCTCTTTAAACACACCACAGAGGCCTATGAATGGACATTCTCTAAAAGAAGGCTATGTCCGTAATGAAGCATTCTTATAGTAGAGTATTGGGATTTGGAGGCTGGTGACCCTATGAAATGGCAAGGAAGGAGTTAAGTAAAAGTAAAAATAATTACTTGGATTATTCCAGTTATACAGAAAGACTGACACACAGTTAAATGAAATTTGCCTGCAGGAGTTCAGCTTGACACGGACAGCATTATATTCCTCAGTGTTCAAGGCTTTCCAAAACATAGGGAAATGAAAAAAGGAAACGAAAGGTATTGAGTAATCTAAACATTTTTGGTTTCTGGCCACTGTACTTGCTAAACTGGGATACATAAACTTCCCAAAGACTACATAATACTAAAATTCAGCACAAACTCTATGCTATCTTGGCTAGGACTTTGCTGTTACCAAACCTAAAAAGGCAATAGCATAGTGCAAGCCGTTACTAACTTACAAGTAGTAGTTAATTCACATCAGAGAAGCATAGATCTGGAACACTAGAAACCAAAAGAAACCCAGATATGAAGTGA